GAATGTTATTAGATGGTCAACATCGTTAAAGTAAGGGAAAAACTTGCCTTACAGATCTTTTGACATTCTTTGAAAAGGTTATTGCTTATGTAGATGAGGGTAAGAATGTAGATTTGGTGTATCTGGATTTTCTGAAAGCATTTGACAAGGTGCCACATAAAGGGCTAGTGAAAATGATTTACATAGGTGTGGCGGATAGCAAATTGGATAGAAGAGTGGCTGGATGGAAGAAAGCAGAGGGTTGTGACAAATAGGGCCCAGTCAAACTGGATTAATTTCCAAAGTGGGGTACCTCAGGACTCAGTTTTAGATAGAACCTTTGCTCTTTTTGATTTACACCAATAGAATAGATGAAAAAATGGTCAATAAATTACATAAATTTGCAGATGATATTAAGGTCTTGGGTGTTGCAAGCTGCAAAGAGGATGCTGCTGATTTAAAAAAAGATTTAGACCATTCATTGAACTGGACAAATAAATAGCAAATGGGTTTTAATTATAACAAATGCAAGATAATGCATGTGGATTATCATAATTTGAATTATAAGTACAATGTGGATGGAAATAACCTTAACGGTGTCATGAAAGAAAGGGATCTTGTTGTACTAATTGATCATACTTAACAATTTGAATAGTAGGACTAGGGGAAACAATATAAATTTTGGCAACGTAGGGGTCATCTTCAGCTAACACAGTTTGATGTTTGTAACAGGGTGGTTGGCCTTTGGAAAGGTTTGCCTTTGGACGTTGTGAAGGCAGTAAATTTAAGTGAGTTTAATAGAAAGCATGATAAGAATATGATTGATAAGGGCAGATTTAAGATTATTTTTTTAAAATTTATTTATTAATAGTTTTAGTTTAGAGGATGGAACAGTCGAGATGGACCAATAGGTCACATGTTGTCCCAAAACGTTATGTTAATACTTCTTTGACTTCTCACTACTCATTACTGCTCATTACCTCACTGAATCTCTTATTAATAATGTTCCCTTATTTCTAGGTAATTAAATATAGCTTACAACAAGGCCTCTGTATTTGATTGTGAAATCCCTTGAACAAAAAGAAAAAAAAAACAAAAACAAACACAATACTAAACTGTATATTCACCTAGTCGTTTTTTGTTTGTTCCCGAGGGTTATAGTATACGAATGAGATGACCTATTGTCCCTTGCTGTCCTGTCATTGGGGGAGTTCTCCCGAAGTTGGTGTTTTAGCGAACGCACTGGTGGCTCTATCCGTGGTGATCCTCTTGGAGTGGTGTCAACAAGAACCTTGGGCTGTTCAGCAGGCCGACTTTCCACGAGTAAATTTTTCTCTGGCTGTTTTCTCACTAACGTACTTCCAAAGACAATCACATAGAATTGCCTTTTGGCTTGAACCACTTGTTCGTCTGGATTATGTAAATCACATCATTCATTCTTTTCAGAACAAATCTGTCACCTTCCAGCACCTGCTTAACTGTGGAGTTTCTAACAGTGGAGATTGTGCAGCCATACAACGCCACCTTGATGGAATTCAGTCTTATCAGCTTAACATCATAGCAACTTTTAATCTTATTACAACTTGAAGTATTTTGCATTTGAAGTCATGTATGACAACAATAGTGTTCCTTAGTCTCTCTGCATATTTTGAATATGCCTCTGATGAGTTATGTCATCCAAGTAAATGAGTACGGCATTTCAAGTTAGTTCAGAAAGAACACACTCCATTTATCATTGAAATGTAGCAGATGCGCTATAAAATCTAAATGATAACATAACAAATAGCCACAATTCATTCCCGCAGTAAATTAGTGCTACATCAACCTGCACTTGCTAATATCCACACTTAATATCCAATGAAGAAAGCCATTTTGATCCAGATATATCATCCAAGGGAGAGTCAATTCTTAACAGTGGGTAAACATTATTTTATGTAACTTCATTCACCATCCGATAATCCCCATAGAACCTTATGGATCTCTCCTTTGTCTTATCAAGTATAATAATACTCGGTAACAAAGAACTGAATCACTTTGATTACTCACTGAATACTTCAGTGAATTGTTATTATTCGTTAACTGTTAATTACTTCACTGATTCTCGCATTTATTATCCACCATTATTTCTTAATACTGCAAGAAATTTCGAGATGATTATATCATCATCCTCATTAACTCCTTTTAGCAAACACTTGAAAATAGTAAATTACAACACAACCAAAGAACAAGTTAAATATTTCTTGTTGCACGAATTTTGTAAGTTATGAATAGGTAAGAAAACAAACGTTTTACTATATAACAAATGAATCTTTCAGTGTACTGAGTGTCTCAGCATTAACTCTAGGGACATAGTAACAAAAACATTTACGTAATCAACAGCTTTAAGTTAATTCCGATAATTCCGTACCGTAAGTATATTGATATTCAAATTATAACAAATACTATATTTCATATCTATGATTTATAAGATTTATGTTTCCGTATATGATTAATCTTTTAATTTAGCCTTCAGAAAGCGCCTGATCTTTTTATATATTTACAAGGAAAATGTAAAAAATACATGATTTTAATACATAAGAAATTACAAAAAGTACAATTATAATTTTCGGTTTTTACATTTCTTATATTATTGAGCCTAGCGTCTCGTCATGTGTGACGAAGAATCCAGGATTCGAGATTGGACAAATTCTTTAAGTTAGTGGATATTTTTGGCTGCTTGTTCATCTGGGTAGTTGTTCAAATACACGAAGCTTGGTCTATCCCAGAATTTGACTTCACGTTATGTTTTGTCTGTTTGTTTTAAAGCAAAGCCACATTTGGCTATCTGCTGTTTCCACTGGATTTTAGTGTCGTAAATCCTTAGACTCACTACTGTCCCACCAGGGGACTTTACGTTAGGTATGTTTGTTTTGAAATTAGGCATAAAGCTATACAACGGGATATCTGTGCTCTGCCCACCATAGGTATCGAAACCCGGTTTCTAGTGTTGTAAGTCCACAGACATACCGCTGTGCCACTGGGGGGTCGTTAGGTATGACTTGAGGTTTATTGATTAAAACCTCAACCTGAAGAAAACCCATTTTAACAGATAACTAATATATATATATATATATATTCAGTTTTAAAAACGTTCAAATAGTTTTTACATTGCAAAAAATTATGTTTTAATTTTTACGGAAAGACAAAAACTGAAATTCTGACGTTCTAGAAACTTACGACGAATGTTAGAATGATGTTTGACATAAAACATTAATTTTTCACACCATATATGTGTAAGAGATTTATATTGTACAGGTTCATTTAAGGCGATGAATGGTGGATAACTTAGAACATTAAAAAAAATTATTGTTTCCCAGTGGGCCAGTGGTACATTTCTGGAATTGCAATATTAAAATCCGGGGTTATATTCCTCTTAGTAGACATAACGTAAATAGCATATTATATATATCTTTGTGCTAAACAAGATAGGAACAGAAATTATAATGTTTTTACAAGTAAATGTATTGATATATTACAAAAATTGCATTAGTGTTTTTTGTTGTTTTTTTAAGTATGCACAAAGCTACACAAGGGCTATCTGTGCTCTGCCCACCACGGGTATCGAAACCCAGTTTCTAGCGTTGTAAGTCCGCAGACATACTGCTGTTCCACTGGCGGGCATGCATTAGTGTAACTAAGTAGTTTTACCAAAACCACAACTAAGGAAATAAGATCTGATTGTGTAAAAGTGTTGAGTGCTTATCAGGATTAAGAAGATTTCATCACTTACAACAAGAATAATAATAATACCAGTACCAGTTAACAAATAAATTACTTTTTAACTGTTAACTTTGTATGCGATCATTAAGAACCTTGTGTTTCCTCCGTATAAAGTGTTAAGTTATGGTTTATAATAGTAAACGTTATAATCTTTAGGATCCAACATATGTTACAACATCTCTCTTCTAAGTTCAGAAATTAAAGTTGCAAGTCGTACTTAGTTGCATTGCCTTCTTGATGTTTTATGCAGTATCGTTTATTTCAAAAAATAATTCAAGGCTTTTTTCTTACCGTAAAGTGATAAAAGCTTCAACGTACATATAGATATATAAATCTAATGTTAAGTCTTTAGTAAGATGTAACAGAAAATGTATTTAATTGTAAATAAGAAACGCGTAGCATAGCCTAATTTCTACTGGTATTTTGCTGGTCATCAGTTTATATAAATATTTGTCTGTTAGTAAACTTCATACAAGCATAAAGTAAACACCAAGTATCTCTGAAAGCAAATATTTCAGTAAATGTTTAGGATAGTTCGCTTAATAATCAAAACTTTGACATGTTTTCTCTTTAGATAAATAGAGTTATTGCAATAATGGCAGCTCCATATAACTCAGAACCCAGACAGAATTGGTATCCACCTTCATCTGGTGTAGTTGGAATACCACCAGCTGGCGGATTAGGTTATCCACCACCAGGTTGGGTTTCTTATTTATTCTTCATGTATATTGAGTGTATATTGTTCACCAAGATAGCTTCAAAAGTTTTCCAAAACACTTTTTCATAAAGTATTGTCTAAATATTTTTGAATAATAAATTGCAATCAGTAGTATATATATATATCATAGATGGTATGTCTTGAATAGAATTGTGGATTTGTGTTTAGAAATATATATCAGTTCCAATATCTAATGATCTTCTTATGTATGCGTATACCATAAGATCTAGGAAAAAGGTTGTTTAAATTATTTTTAATAACTCTTTTTGTCTTTAGGACCTGCAGGTGTTCAGTGGATGTCTCTTCCCTCGGCTCCCC